TAATATGATATTTAAATTTTAAAATCTCTAATATAGTATTTGAACTTTAAATATGTTGACTAATTTAACAACTCCAAATTGAAATTTAAAGAAAAATTATTTTTCTTGGACTTAATACAATATTAGCATTTTTTATTTCAAGAAAAGAAAATTTTCAATATGCTTACTTTACTAATTCAATTGACATTCGAGGTGAATGTTTATCACTTTATGTTTGTTATAATGGGTTGTTACCTCTTATCTTTGTATCAAGGTGCATGCATATGTTTATCAATATTTACCTTAGATAATACATCTTATATACGAAACAGATTGGATGTCAACGAAGACTAACAAGACAAATTCAGATTGGAGATAAGAGATGCCTAATTCCTTTCAAGAAGATATAAAAAATCTGACGTAGATAACAAGATAAATTTAGATCAAATCTACTTTGATAAAAGATAGCTATTACCATTCACAAAATGTTTTGTCATTTCATGCTTTTGTCGACATGAACATTTTGTTAAAGTGCCATTTTTTATGCCTTTACCATTCCTTCTTCTATATCGATGTGGATTTATATGCTTACCACTATTAGTTTTAGGTCATTTATTTTCTATAAACAAATCACATTATAAGAAAATGAAAAATTAGTGACAGTTTTGTAGCGGCGTTTAACTTACAAACGCTGTTAGCTTTCGTGTTTTTATAAAACTTAAGATATTTATTATCAAAATGCCACTAAATATTCAAATAACAGCGTTTTTACTTATAAATGTCACTCAAGACTTGATATTAGCGGCGTTTATCGACTAAAACACCTTGAATAATCTTGTCTTAAAATTTTGAATGAATAGTAAAGGTGTTTTTCGCAAAAAATGGCTTGAATAATCCAATTAAAAAAATTGATAGGGGATTACTGAAGGTGTTTTTGGCAGACCATGTCTTGAATAATCCTCTCATAAAAAATGTATATGATTATTGAAGGTATTTTTTGTAAGAAACACCTTTAATAATTCCAAAAAAAATTTCACAGGATTATTAAATGCGTTTCCAAGAACTAATCTCGGTGGTCTACCAACTCATGTATTATATTTAGTAAATATTTATATTTTTAATATAAAAAGAGCTTACTATTAAGTGTTAAAAATTGTATGGTATTATTCAGTAGGTTCTTAAGCGCACTAGTGACCAAAGTGAAAAAATTCATTCATTAATTGACAGTCTTCCAAATATATGTAGTCATCAATTTCATACATTTAAAATTTTTTTTTGTTAATGTATTAAAAAAAATTTGAATGTTATTATACTAATTATTAAACTTTGTGTTAATTAGATGCATATTTGAATGTAAATTAAGTATTTATTAATTTCAGTTTCTGAATTTAAGTTCATTTTTATTTCTTTTAACATTTCTTGTTAATAAAATAATAAATTTTTTATTAAAAAAATTAAATTTCTTAATTTCATGGCGTTCGCGTTCAAGAATGCTGCTAAATTCTAAATTTAGCGGTGTTTGTACCATAAAATGCCATTAAAAATAGTAGTATTCTTATAGAAAAAAACGTTGCTAAATTAGCAGCATTCTAATCATAAAATGTCGCTAAATTAATGGCATTTTTTTATACAAACGTCGTTAATTTTAACGACATCTTATCATATAAACGCTACCATATTAGTGACGTTTTTCTAATACAAACATCACTAAAGTAGCAACGTTTCAAAAATACAAACGTCGCTAAAATAGCGATGTTTTTCATATACAAATGTCGCTAATATAGTGGTATTTTATAGAAAACGTCATTATTTTCCTTGACACGTGTATATACAACACTCTGATTGGTATTTTTTGCAAACTTCGCAAATCTTTTAGTGGCATTTATAAGTGCCACTAAATGTTAAAAAAAATACCACTAAAAACCTAAATCTCTATAGTGTCAAGCTATCAAAGAACAAAGTAAATGTAGATTGGATATTTTGATAAGAGATTACCAATATCACTAATGAGGTTTATTCATTCAACAAGAAGTTTGATATTGGTAGCAAAATCAACTTAGCTCGGATAAATGTTGATATTCATAAGAAGCTCTCTTTTTATGAAGAGTTTGTCACATTACATTATGCTATTTAACTATGCTTCTTCCTTTTACGAAAAACTTAATAATAGTAGGTCTTCACTTCATTTCAAATTATATTGCTTTTTTGGTTGATGCCAAGTCCCTTTGCTCTCTTAAAAATTGATCAAGGACTTCGATGAGCTCATCTGTTGATTCAAGTTGGCTGTAATATGATCTGGTCTCTAAAATAAAATCTTTACTTTTAGTGTTTTATTCTTTTTCCTTTCATTTTTAGGGATATAATGTAGCATTATGTTGCTATGGATTGATCATTCCGAACTTTATCTATTCCATTACTAATTGGAAAGTTGAACTTTAAGTAAAGAGCTGACCTAACAACTCTTGTAGTTGTTTGGTTACGTCTTCTTAAGATTATTTTACGTACGAAAAAGATTGTGTAAGATGACTTAGGCTTTATGGCTATTGAGTCTATGGCCATAATGGCATCTTGGTATATTTTCTTTTTACTGAAATTTCTCTCTAGTGATAATGTTGATGACACATTAGGTGAACTTATTGTCAATAAACCTCTTTTTTTCTTGATCAAGTCGGTCATGTCTCTTACATCTATAACAGCAGTTTAGCTCAATCGCTATCAAATTTGTTATATCTCTGATAGCCACCACAATGGTTATACTCAGCTCGACTATTAACAAGTCAGTTATATCTTTTATATCCACTATAGCATTTATGTTTAGCTCGACTATATCTCTAATGTCCACCATAAAGTTTGCGCTCATCTTGATCATTATCAGGTCGGCTATATTTTTATATCCATGGTTATTTTAGCTCAATCATTATCACAAGTTTTGCGTGCGTGGCCATTAAGGTTTCTATATTAATGGTTTCTTTTATCTTGTTTTTGGCTTGGCCATTTTCAAAAAAAAAAAAAAATCTTAACCTTTTTTCATGAAGTTTTCTATTTCATTCATAAGATTGACATATTCCTCGATAATATGACGTGGTCACGATGAAAGATATACCTTTTCTCATGAGGTTTTCTATATCATTCATGAGTTTGGCACGGTACACAATCAGGAGGTCTTTTATATCATTCTTGAGGTCAGCATACCTTAATAATGTGATCATCTCTTTTCATAAGGATTATCTTATACTCAACCTCTCTCCCTTATTTCATGTTGCTTCAATGCTTATCTTCCTAAGGCTTTATGGCCATTGTCTCCTCAGAAATGATATGTTTTTCAGCTTGGCCAAATAGTGTTTTAAGGGTTCTTAAGAAAAGGAAAAATATAAGTGGAGCTCATCCACTTCTACAACTTCAACCTTAAATCTCATCACATGTTATCATAGTGATTCTCTTGATTTTTGCTTTATAGTTATCAGGCTAAGCGTGGTTTTCTTGGCATAATGGCTATTGATAAAGTGATGTGATTGATCAAAGTGCCAAGCTTTAATGATTTGATTGACCAATGTGCCAAGTTTGAGTACCAAGCTCTAGCAATTCCTTTTAGGGTGGGTAGTAACGATGTAATTGATCGAGTTTGAACCGATATAATATTAAGCTCGAGCTTGATTCGAAATTCAAGGCTCGAAACTCGGCTCGAACTCGATTGAATTTTATTTTTCTTGCTCGAGCTCGACTCGAAATACAAATCAAGCTACTCGAGCTCGCTCGATTAGGCTCGATTAACATGTAAAAATAAGTTTGATTCTTATATTTGACAAAAGCTCAATTAGGCTCGCAAGCTACTTGAGTCAAGTATAAAAAATATTTAAACTCGACTCAATCGATGAATCGAGCTACTTGAGCTTGAGCTCGACTCAATAATAATCGAGTTGAATTTAAGTTTTATTCGAATCGAATCCAAATAACTTACAAGTACTAATATATCATTTACACCCCTAGTGGGTAGGAATGCCTTACATATCAATGGGTCATATGTTCCTTGTATCAACATATCAACACAAAATAAATTCAAATTACCAAAAGGATTAAAAGTATCATCGTAGGTTTCAACGATGGACATTCGAAAGCTAGTTGAAGGTTAAAAGCAGTTTATCTCTCCTTGAAAGGTAAGGTTTCAAGGAATTGTTACACATCCATACGCACCAAAGCTTTGCTCTTCATTTGCTTCTCTATCACCTCCATTCATGCCTTAAGTCCTTCGTTGTTTGTTTGTCCATCTATAAGTAAGTCACCTTTTCCTGAACCTCGGGTAAAGTTGAAGGTTGTCGTGTGAGCATATCAACTGCTCTGCCATTAGAAGAGGTTGTGGGTCAAGGTCATCATCGGGTGTTTTGTGGCATCAATGGCGGTGTTGTGTTCTCTTTAACAAGTTTCTTGTTGGGTGCTATATCGAAAATCGACCCACCTAGCGTGCCAACATGTATGGCCTAAAAATGAGTCTGAAGGTATGGAGTTACAAAATTAAAGAAGATGTCAAGACAAAAGCTGAAGGTAACTCCAGCGTTTGTGCTTGGACATCAAGTCAGGGAGTGAAAAAGGAGCAGAGCAAGGATAGGCTAGACTGAATGAATAAAGAAAATGAATGGTCTTAGGGTTACATGGAGAAAGGGAGAGATTTTTACACCTGATTTGATGTGGCCAAATTTAACCTGATGTAACTTTAAGATAACTCAATACCTGAATGACATGTATGCATGATCAAATGAAATGGATAAGGTGTGCGTGATTGTCCAAGTTGACGTTTTGGTAGTTGCACCGACAAAAATATAGGTCATTTAAGGGAGAAGTAAAAGATTATTTTACCCTTAAAGGATTCATCTATGGGTAGGGACGAAAGGTCCTTGGGGTCATGCCCTATTCAACAAATATTCTCTCCTTTTCCTGCACCTCTTTCGCCAAGATCACATTAGCTAAGCATTCGGGGTTTTGGACTTCACATATATATAAATTTACTTGGCATAGTTTTATTACTACTTCTCGAACATGCTGGATTTTCAAGGTTTATAAACTTCCTTTTCTTTTAGTTCACAGGCCTGGACGTTCTGTCTACGTTCAGAGGGAAGGTGATTACTGGTTAATGGATATCATGCCAATAGCAACCCAGGAGAACCGTCAAGATAAGTTAATCTACTGCGCTTGTTCGTTTTGCAGGGAACCAAGCTTGGTGATTCTATCCTGTCATCAAAGTGGGATTTATCCTCTTTTGACAGGTTTTTTCGACGAATTTTTATTTTTAAGAAAAACATAATTTGAAATTGCTGTTTTGATAAACAAAGGCACATACATACTACTCAAAATTGGTGGTTTAAGAAACAAAACAAAGGCATACATTCAGAATTCAAATTTGCGTTTTAAGTAACATTCATACCCCTTTTTTAGTACACATTTTTGTACGATAAGCAATCTGGCACATTTTTTGTTAAGGAAAGGAAATGTAATGGGGCATGCCTATCCAAGGCCAATCCCTGCCCTGGCATACCAACATTCATAACAGTTTTACAGCTCACTTTGAATGAAGGCACTTGAAACTATAAATGATCTTTTGGGCTACCAAGTCCTCTATATAATAAACACATGACGGATCAAGCACTAAACCAGAAAAGGCTCCTAGCTTCACAAGAATTTGAAGCTTCATTTCAAAAACTTTTCATGCGTTGTTTCCCATTTAGCTAATACTTGCAAAATCCGGCACAACTCTACAAGGAAGATAAATGCAATTGCCAAAAAAATCACTAGTGACGTCTCATTTCAAGGAGTATTCTTGCAACATTTGCGGATAATCTAGGAAGAAACTTGAACAACTGCACCAAAAATGTAATTAAAGGGAGAATTAAGAACATAAACAGATCTTTAATCATACAAGACCAAGAATTCATGCACACGAAGTTCCATCTAAACTTTAAGTGCAAAAACAACAAAGATAAAACCAGAAGAAGGATAAACCACAAACTACAATTATAGTCATGCTTTTCTTACCCACCATAAATAGTCTTTATAAAAACATTCCTTCATTAATATACGGTTTTAAGAGCACCAAAAATACAAACCTATGAATGGAAACCCAAGCATGGTTTTCTTTAACTTACTGGTATCATTCATAGTTTGATCCCTTCAATTAATCTTCTGACCATACAAAAGCTAGATTATATTCGGCAAGCAGCAACAGTAAGAAAGCAAGATTCTTAATGTCCTATATTATAACCATAAATCTAGATCTAAAAAGACATGTCGAAAACATGCTGGCCAATTTCTGGTACTTGAGCTCTCACGACCTTTTTGAAGCTTTTATAGGGAAACAAGAAGCCAGTGTTTGATGCAGTGGCATAAATTAAAAGTGAAACTAAAGCATGTGATAAGGAGCCCAAAGTGATTCATTTCCATGTCTTCTTTTGGTTTTGCAGCCAACGAGTAAAACAATAATAAATGCAAAGATTTTGTAAAACATACCCAAAGCTTCACACATGAATCAATAAAAACTGGAACCAGACAGACAAAAATGGTTATAGTAGAGTGATCAACTTGGAGTCCATAATGGTCAACAATTATCTCTACCAAAGTATGCCAACCAGCTTCAGAATGATACCTGCATATATGCAAGTCATAAGTTACCCTACAGAAATTAAAAAGTGCAAAATCGAGCCTTTTTCTATTATTATGTTTTTAAGTAAAGGAGAGCAAGTTTGGAATCAAGAAGAAGATGAAGATGAAGAGCGTGGAAAAATTTTTAAAAGGAAAAATTAATTAATATGACGGAATTTTGGTCAACTGATAGGGACCAAAAGTAGACAACTGAATCCATATCTCAACCAGTTTTCCAGTTTTAATCAATATTTCAAGGAGATTAGGCTTTGCTTTCTTTTGACTAAGATTTGGATGTGTCTATCAAGTAACATCGGAAGTTGGTCAATATCTATTTAAACATATATAGATTATAAAAATGCAAATTAAATCTCAAACAGGAAAAGATGTGGATTATATTATCTCTCATGTAAGCTACTTCCATTTAATTGTTAAAAATATTCAACATTAACTCAGTACATAAACATATAAATAAATAGCACCTTAAGCCGCGATAGAAGCACATTACCCTAAAAAAATATCCGCAATCACTATAATGAGAAATGCCTTTCCAGCATCTGAAATGTTACCTATTATTTTATAACCTGCAAATTTCAGCAAAGCTACCTGCAGAAGTAGTGAGAAAAATTAGAAGAAATAGGTGCTTGGTTAGTAAAAGTACACAACATTTAGATGCATAAAAAAGGTAAGTTAAACTTTGTCATACATGCTTGTGCAGGAACAATAATCCGGATATATACATAACAATAAGCAACACAAATAAAATTTAATCAAGCCTAAAAATTTGACTATAGCTAACTGAGCCACTACAAAACCTTAGCCATATTGTTTCAAATAAATTGAATCATTTAACTCTCAGTTCAGCATGCATAGAAGGTTGGATTTTAGAATTTCTTAAGACTTTAGTGCATGCTGTATATGTGTCTTAAGCTAGATGCTAAAAAGCTTGCTTTACAACATTCTTTGGCAAATCTAAGGATGTTAGAAATAAGTCTGATAAAAAATAGTCCTTTTATATTTACCATCGATAGATCCTGTAAGACATTAGTCTATTTAAAAAAAAAAAAAAAGGAAAAAGGAAAAATCTTGTGTTTGCCTAAAGGTAATCTTTGTATTAGTAGTAATGATGGAGGACATTCTTGAAATTTTCAGAAGCACATCAATTATAGGCTTAACTTTAGGAAATAGGTTTTGTGGGCTTATTTGTTTGGTTTATTTTATTGGACTTTAATTGGGGTTTAGGTGGGCTTAATAACTATGTTTACAAAGCTCATATATAGTTTTTATTAGACTTGGAAGTTGGGTTTTGATTGTTAATATTTTTTACATTGAAATTTTGAATTAAATTTGAGTTTAAGCAATTGTGATATTTAGATTATAAGAAGTGTAATATTTTGCAACCTACATGTGTTTTCCCTAGGATTCATGGTATCTACACAATGTATAGCAATTGATTCAGATGAAGTCAAAGCAATTAGGTAGTGGCCTGAACCTACTTATATATTTGAGGCGTGTAGTTTTCCGGGCTTGGCTACTTTATGTAGGCAAGTATAGGAGTTTTAGCACTATCATGGCTCCTATTACTGAGTGTCCTAGGAAAGGTGAATGTCTGTAGAGTCCTTTGGCTACTAGGGCTTTTTTTAGATATTAGAAAAGACTAAGGCTTCTATATTATCGCATCTAGAGTTTTAGAAGTAGCATGTAATGCTTTTGGGATAGGCATAGAAAAGGTTTTAAGTCAACATATTGCCTTCTTTTTGGTGAGAAATTTACAACCTATGAAGGCGTACTTAACCTATGAAAAAGAACTTTATGCTTTTTTTTCAGTCTTTTTGTTATTTTAGGTTTTATTGCTGGCCTCAGAGTTTGCATTGTATTCTGATCATTTAGCTTTGAGGTTTCTTCAGCCACAAGAACAACCTAGTTCTAAGCGTGCTAGATGGCTGGCTTTGATATACTTTGGTTCTTAAACATCAATCTTTGTGTAATAAAGTTGTGGGTTTTGATAGGTTGAAACATGATCATGCTAGTTCTCCAGATCTTGGGGTGATGTATATGGAAGTTAAAAGCGGTAATAATAGGAAGCATGATGATGTTGTTATTCACAATGGTTATTGTGGAAATCTAATCTTCATTATTACTTGGTTAGTTGACTTTATCTATTTTAGCTAAGTCTTTTAAGAGTAAGAAGTGATTTGGGTAATTATACAAAATCCATTAGATATTTTCCTATTATGTGTAGAGAGTAAATTATTCCTTTGATTAACTGTTTTAATGCATGAAAATCTTGGGTTTTAAAACTGAGAATTTTCAATCTTTACCCTATATATTTTCATGTAATTCTAGCATTGTAATAAGAAAAACATAGAAGAATAAAATAGTTTTATTCTAGATATTTCTTCATGGTATCAGGGTACACTCTGATCCTTTGAAAATTTTTACTTGGAGTTCAACATGGCTAGCAGAAAAGAGAGCCCGACGTTAGAGGTTACCTCTAACCCCGAAGCTAACGTTTCTCAATCATTGCAAAACATTACTACTCCTATTCGAATAGGTTCTTTAGCACAAAAAAGTAATTTTCTAAGTGTCTTGAATGTAAAATTAGAAAAATCAAATTTATGGATTGTGTATTCAGGAGCTTCAAATCATATGACTGGGGATGCATCTATATTTAGTAAATACAACCCATGTCATGAAAACTACACAGTTCGAATTGCTGATGGGTCACTTTCAAAAGTAACCGATATAGGTTCTGTTATTATTTTCAAAGAGATAACAATTGATTCTGTTTTGTTTGTTCCAAATCTAAGTTGCAATCTACTGTCTATAAGCAAATTTACAAGAGACCTCAAGTGTGTTACTAAATTTCTTTCAAATATGTGTGAATTTCAGGATTTGGATTCGGGGAAGATGATTGGCAATGCTAAGATGTGTGTAGAACTCTATATCCTAAGAGCTAATGATTCTGAAAGACAATATCAAAAGGCCTCTTGTGTGGCTTCATCCTCCAATAATAATAAAGATAGTACTATCATGTTTTGGCACTATCAGTTAGATCATCCAAATTTTTTGTACCTCAAAAAGTTGTTTCTCTCATTATTCAATCAAAATCCTAACAACTTTCAGTGTGAAGTCTGCAAACTATCCAAACATACTTGTACCACATATCCTAATCAGCCTTACAAACCATCCCATTCTTTTTCAATGATACACAATGACATTTGGGGTCCCTCTAAAGTAAATAACATTATTGGCTCCAGATGGTTTGTCACATTTATTAATGATTACACCAGGCTTACTTGGGTATTCCTTATGAAGGAAAATTCAAAAGTGGGCCAGCTATTTCAAAACTTCAACAATATGATCCAAATTCAATTCAAAATCAAAATCCAAGTATTGAGAACCAACAATGGGAAAGAATACTACAATTCAATTCTTGGATCATATCTAATGAAGCATAGTATAATTCATCAAAGTTCATGTATTGACACTCCTCATTAGAATGGTGTTGCTGAAAGAAAGAATCGACATTTGTTGGAAGTTGCAAGATCCCTCATGATGGCTACCCATGTACTAAGCATTTTTGGGGTGACACCTACATATCTTATAAACAGAATGCCTTCTCGAGTCCTAAAATTTCAAAGCCCTTGCCAATCCCTTCTCAATTCCTAACCTCACCTTCACATCATCTTGTCTATTCCCATTAAAGTGTTTGGATGCATTGCATTTGTTCTTACCAACCAACAAAACCAAAGCAAATCAGATCCCAAATCCATCAAATGCATATTTCTCGGATACTCTCTGAATCAAAAAGAATATAAGTGTTACTCGCTAGTAACAAAAAAATTCTACCATTCCATGAATGTTACAGTTTTTGAAAATCAACCTTTTCCAAAACTGCCATTCAAGGGGAAAATCCAATCACACAAGAATATCATCTTTGGGAAGATCCTATTACCGAACCACCAAACACTTCTCAAACTCCCTTTCACGTCCAAAACATCCAACCAGATCCTCCAACTCCCTTTCAAGTCTAAAACATCCAACCAAATCCTCCAAACCTAAAGTCCACATAAGGGAAAACAAACAAAGAATTGATTGCCTATTCAAGAAGACAAAAAACTTAGATGGATGTAGGAGAATGTACTCCTTCAAAGCAAAACCAAGAATCTGAACCGATTCCAAAGATACTTGAAATCAACACAGGTAACACTCTTATTGAATTTGATTCAATTGAATCTTTTAATGATCTTGATCAACCAATTGCTCTAAGGAACGGTGTGAGATCATGTACTCAACACCCAATCTGTAATGTGGTTTCGTATAAAGGTTTATCATCCAGTTATCGGGCTTTTGTTACCACACTAAACAATATGTAAATTTCCAATAATATTCATGAAGCACTCATGCAACCAAAATGGAAGATGGCTATTTTGGAAAAAATCATGGCCCTAGAAAAAAACAAAACGTTGGAGATTTCAGAACTACCCAAAGGGAAAAATCCAATTGGGTGCAAATGGATTTTTATAGTCAAGCACAATGCAAATGGAAGTATTAACAGATTCAAAGCTCGCCTTGTTGCAAAAGGATTTACTCAATCTTATGGTATTGAATATGAGGAGACATTTGCTCTGGTTGCTAAACTTAACTCAATTTAGGTGTTATTATCGTTCGCAACAAATCTAGATTGGCCACTCCACCAACTAGATGTCAAAAATGCATTTCTTAATGGCGACCTAGAAAAAGAAGTTTACATGGAAATCCCCCTCCAGGATTCAAAAACCATGACAATTTTGGCAAGGTATGTAAGCTTCAAAAGTCTTTATATGGTCTCAAACAATCCCCACATGCATGGTTTGATAGACTAACAAAAGTAGTAAAGAAGTATTGTTTTTCACAAATGCCACACCGATCACACTATGTCTGTCAAACATTCACCTGAAGGAAAAAATAGCCATTCTTCCTGTCTATGTGGATGACATTATTCTTACTGGAGACTGTGGAAGAAATTAGCAACCTAAAGAACCTTCTAGCCAAAGAATTTGAAATCAAAGATTTGGGACACCTCAAATATTTTCTTAGCATAGAGGTAGCTTGCTGAAGGAATGACATCTCTGTTTCACAGCATATGTCCTAGACTTACTAAAGGAAACCGGAATGCTTGGATGCAAACTTGTTGATACCCCTATGGACACAATGAATAAGGTAGGAATGGAAAAAGGAAGTCCACCAACAGATAAAGGTAGATATCAAAGACTTGTTGGGAAACTGATCTACCTCTCTCATACAAGACCAGATATCAATTTTTCAATTAGCATGGTAAGTAGATTAATGAACAACCTAATTGAGGAACACTTGAGGTTGTGTATCGAATCTTATAGTACCTAAAGAAAAGTCCTGGCAAATAGTTATTTTTTAAGAAGACATCATGCTGAATTGTTGAAGTTTACACTGATGAAGATTAGGCTAGATCCGTTATTGACTGAAGATCAACTACTGGTTATTGTACCTAGGTGTGGGGAAATTTGGTTACTTGGCGAAGCAAGAAGCAATCTGTGGTGGCTAGAAGTAGCGCGGAAGCTGAGTTTAGAGCTATGTCTCATGGTATATGTGAGGAAATTTCGTTGAAAAGATTGCTAGGGAAGTTAAAGGTCTTTGCAGAAGAATTCATGAAGATATTCTACAACAACAAAGCTGTCATAAGTCTAGCAAAGAATCATGTTCACCATGATAGGACTAAACATGTGGAGATTAATTGTCACTTCATTAAAGAGAAGATAGAGGAAGGAATTGCTAGATTAGTTTATACTCCCACATGCTTCCAAACTGCAGACATATTCACTAAAGGTCTCTCTCGAAACAACTTCGAGACTCTGAAGTCCAAGCTAGGCATGATTGACATCTACCACCCAACTTGAAAGGGAGTATGGAAATCTAATCTCCATTATTACTTGATTAGTTGACTTTATCTATTTTAGTTAAGTCTTTTTAGAATAAGAAGTGATTTAGGTAATTACACCAATTCCATTAGATATTTTCCTATTATGTGTAGAAAGTAAATTATTCCTTTGACTAGCTATTTTAATGAATGAAAATCTTGGGTTTTAAAGCTGAGAATATTCAGTCTTAGCCTATATATTTTCATGCAATTCTAGCATTGTAATAAGAAAAATATAGAAGAATATATTCTAGAGATCTATCCAGTTATCTCTTCCAAGCTAATAGGCCGTGTTCCTCATACTTCACTTACAGAGCATGTAGTTTAGGGAATGCATGATGGTGGGTTGGCTGGTCAGCTAGGCACGATAAGACTCTTGCTAAAGTGGAGGATCGAATTTATTAACCATCTTTGAAGAGGGATGTAGAGAAGATATTGTTGTGTTGTCATACTTCTCAGCTTTCCATAGCTAAGAAGCAAACATAGGGTTAAATACACATTTGGTACTCGAACTATGGTGAAGTTGTTGATTTGGTAGCTAAAGAAAAAAAATTCACAATTAAGTACATGAACTATGCTTTTATTTATTAGATGCATTACGCATCCAAAAAAAGTCAGTAAGAAAACGTGTAAAAAAAAGTGATGTCATGCTTTAAAATTTTTTGCTAAAACATTTCACTTTCGGAATTAAAGAATAAAAATCTTCAAAAACAACAAAATTAGTCAAAAAATTTTAAAATTTGGAAAGAAATGAAATAAAAAAATAGAAAAAAATTGGATGAGAGGAAAGGAGAGGAAAGGAGAGGAAAGGAGAGGAAAAGAGGGAAAAAGAAAAAAGACAAAGAGAAAGAGAGAGAAGGGAAGGGAAATGGAAGGGAAGGAAAGGTTGGCCTAGTTGCAATCTGCTTAGCTTGATGTAGACCGATATCAATCGGTCCACCCCAGACAGCCATCAAGGGACCCCCTTCCCCTTCCCCTTCCCCATCCCCTCCTCTCCCTCTCTCCCCCTCCATTTCCCTCTCCTTTTCATCATTTCGTTTGAATATTTTAATCTTTTTTCTAGTTTTTTTGTTTTTCCTAGAATTTTACATTTTTGGAACTTCTATTTGTTTTACCTACTATTAAGTTTGCTTATAACAATTTGGTTCATATGTCCTTTAGAATGTATCCATTTAAATGTGTCTATGGCATCAAACCTCGTGCACTTATTGACCTTGTTCCCCTTCCCCTTACATCTCTATGTAAGTAAAAATATGCACATAGCAGGAGCATGAGCAACAAAGAATATAAGTATGTTACATTTTCAAAGTATATGTCTTTTGTCATGCTCGCAACCTAGTATTTTGGCATTACAAAAAAAAAAATAAAAAGAGAAAAAGAAGAAAGAAAACAAAAAAACAAAAACACTGAGTTTTATTAAAGGTAAAATGGTGCCTTTATATTACCAAACATGATGATATCCATACTTTCTTCCATTTCCATCAGCCAAACCATGAAATACATATTCCATCCATATCACAACTCTAATATATTTTCATAAAATAACTATTCTATTCCGATTCTCACGAACCAAATGTGCCCCTAGAGAAATACTTGGAAAATCCTTGGGAAAGAAAGAAAGAAGCTCATATTGCTTTATATCCAAGTTATGGAAGGCATGCATGATTTAACGATTACTCATGCAAGGACTCACGGAACAAGGATAGAGTACTTTCCATTAGCAATAGGTTTACACCAAGCTTTAGTTTTGAGTCCATTTTTTTTTCCCTTTAGTGATAGATGAATTAACTAAGTATTCAATATGTTTCATCTTAGTGTACACTTTTTGCTAGTAATATAGTAGCGGTGCACGAAAAAATGGGAAGTGCAATTCAAAGTAAGACTTGTGGAGAGAAACTTTGTAATTTAAGGGTTTTCCACCCAATTGTTCTAAAACAAAGTACTTGGAATGCAAATGTAGTCCAATGGTAAAAGTGAGAAATGTAGATAAAAACATGCCAAAAAAGTGGGCAATTGCAATACCTTGGCTCAGTTATCATACGGGATGGAAAATTTTATATAGAAGTTAATAATAGGATCTAAACTGGAATTGATGAATTAGAATAGTGTTTTTAGAGTCTTGTGTGATCATTAAGTTCCACTAAAACTTATAATGCATTTGTGTCAATGAGAGGGAGGAGAGATGAAAGGAGGGTAAAAGGGGAAATTTTTTCTTTGTTTGGATAGAACTTGAAATAAAAGGAAAGGAAGAGATATGCAACACCCTTCAATATTCCCTTAAATGCCTCAAATGCCCATTTTTCTAATTCCCTTCTAGTGGGGAGAGAGGAAGGGACAGGGAAAGATTAAATATTTTATATGGCAATGCCTGTTATGCTCTTATTGTCTTTGTCAAATTACAAACCACTATAAAACCTTGGCAAAAGGCAAAGTGCAGCTCCTAAATGTCAACATATGCAACAAATAGAAAAAGGGAAAAAAATTAGATGTGACAAATGAAAATGCTAAGTAGGGTGTCTATACATCCAAAGAAGGAGAAGATTAGAAATAAGTATTTTAAAACAAGGAACTCACAAACCATTGAGGAAAACATAAGTCACATTTATCTTGTTTGGATACCTACAAACCCGACGAAAGGATGTGATCTACTGAAAAACACCCATGTCTAGAAAGTGAAAGACCATAGAGGATATGGATGAAAACGAGGACCTTACTTAAATTGAACTTCCAAGGCGTATCTTTAAAAGTGAACAATGGCACAATATTATCCATATAGCTATTCACGTTGTGTTTGAATGCATTAATTTGTTGGAATTATGTATTAAGATAATAAGAATAAAATTCTATTGGTCGATCGAGAGAGATGAGAGAGAGAGAGAGAGAGGGAAAAATTGTAAGGGAAACACAAACCCCTGGTTGCATAGGAAAAATAGTTCCATTATTGGTGCAGAGTTACCTATTTATAATATGTAAATCTAAAGGGAAACAATAGATTCACGTAAAAATAGGGAAAATTGCAAATTTATTTAGAAAAAATGCAATCCTATGTCTGTTTGACAAAAAATAATGAATCCCTATGTTGATTGCTAGGTAATGTTGACAATATTCTGACTATTTGTAAAAAATCGAAAAAGAAATAAAAAAGGTCAAATGTGGGAATACCATTATGGAGAAGCAGTAAAGGGATACTTACCTTACTTTGATTGAAGTGTAAGAGAAGGAACAGTGAAATGCCAAATACCATATCTGACCATATGTTCGCAAATGCTTTACGGTTCCCTAGTCTGCATTCATCTCGTAATTCTAACCTGTTGAAGCATTTTATTAACAGGACAACAAAATTTAGCTTGACAGAATAGGGTAAGAGGAAATTATTTTGCAGGGAAATTAACAATTTATAATGCACACTTGGCAGTGTTGTGCTTGATTAGACCAATTGTATTGCATCAATATAGCTTTCTTATGTAACATTTTTTTGGATAAATAAATATTTTTTTGGTATTTCATACTTCTGATATTTCAAAATTTCAATTTGTCTTCCCCCAGAAAAAATAAAATAAATTAAAATATAAAAGCACACATTGTTCTCTTTCCACATAATTATTAGAAAAAAGGAATGGTAAACGCAAATATGGTTGGATCCATAGAGTAGTAGCGGACAAACATTCAAATATGTTATTATAAACATATCATTGAGTCCAATACATTGATGATGGAGCATGCCAGCAACAGCCTCCAAAGGTGTTTATAAGACTAAGGCTGGTTCAAAGGCACAAACCTTAATTTCACACATTTCCAATGGTTAGAGGCTTATAGGGAGCTTGATTAGATTTCATTACTTGCTTTTGCATCCTAAAATTTCTATGATTCTTTACATTCAAGTTCTGGGATAATATTTTACCTTCTGTTTTCAACAGTTTTAGGTGTTTGGAGTATTATAATAATTTTTTGAATTCTGGAAATTGCATATTGAGTCTGGCATCTTATTTTGGGTTTTGCATATCCTATTATTAATGGGCAGGACTACAGAACAGAAGCATTTTAAAATCATGTGCGCACTGAAAACTGATCAAAGTACCAGTTGCCACTAGAAGTATAAGTGATTATAAGAAGGCATAGACTGAAAACATTCGAAATGCATATAAGGACATGAGTGTTGCATTGCAGTCAAAGCTACCAACGAAGCATATAATGTGGCTGCAAATGAAAATCAATAGCTGAGGAAATTAACCAAGGAAGCATGGTGTCAATGTATTTGAGGTAGAAGAGGTAACTGACAGGAATTTATCATAAATTTAACAATGCTAAGCACTAAGGAAGATTAGCTCAACTGCACATTTAGTCAAGCTACAATTACTTATATATCTTTTTCTTTGTCATAGTTTACTATTTTGTTTTTGTTTCCTATCATGAATGTGAATCCTGCTTGAGTTTTGAGAATTCAACCTTGGCAGTACTTAAGTTGCCATTTAGTTTAGAAAGGTTTACATAATTTATTATATACCCCTTTTTCTTTGTCAATACATTAACAATTCTTGTCTTTATCACGTGAAAATGTAAATACTTTCCATTATTCAAAACCCTAATAATGGAGAACAACCTTCCAAGTTTCGGAAGAATGTCTATCCTAGACATAAATTTAGGACATAAGATTAAATTAATTAGTGGACTTGTTGGTTGGGTTTATTTTATTAGTCTTTGTTTGGTTTAGGTGGGCTTTATTTTCCCTTAGGCTAACCTATCCTAAATATAATCACATGAAGGACAATATGGTAAAGGAGAATCAAAATGTTCCATGGAATACTCTTCAAGTTGCCCTATCTGACAATGCTGAATCACATGATGTTATAGATCGTTAACGCCTTACTCGATGATTACAAAACTAATAAACATGTTACTAACTTGTTTATTTAGTGCTTAAAGGTATATTGCATCTAAAATGCAAGTTAGTACAAGTTTGGAAATTATTTGGAGGTTGAAAATTTCAAGGAAATTGAAACTTGAGGTTTAATTGCAAAAAATTTAAAGGAAGTTGATTCTCAAGCATGTATGATCAACAACATTACACAAAGAGCACTAAAAGTTCCCGCAGTCAACTCTCTCATTGATTCAAAGGTCAAAATGAACAAAATCTCTGAATCACACTCACTCATCATAGTTGACCGCCACAATTTGGAATTAGAATCTTCATCTTTTTTATGTTATTTTTGGATTTTCTTTCAAAGGGACACTCCACAATGGTCATACTCTCAAATCCTCTATAAAGGAAGCTTTAAGGCACCTCAAATCATGAATCCCCATTGTTACACATCCAATGTAAAACTAATTGGTTCTAGGTGTTGATGCCCACCCCAAATATAAGGTCAACAAGAACTCATGACTTAATCGATGAGGTTAAACCACTCAACACTGCCCTCACATGTAGTCACAATACTAACAATTGAAACAAACAAGTTTACCACATCGACAAATAAGGCTACAAGTAACATGACAAACTTGGACTTTAGAACCATGTTAAGCATCCAATCTAAAACCAATTGGCTAAAGGTGGAGAGATCCAACCTTAATTTGAGACCACATAAAACTCAAGTCTTAGATGAAATGGAAAAACACCACTTAGCAGCCAATGAGCTAAAAGATCAAATGATTCAAGTCTTACTGTTTTTGTTAATTTTCTCATTCTTTCAAGCCTTGTACCATGTGATAGTGCTTTAACTAGCTATACCAAACTTCAGAGAGATTTCATAAGCTGCATTTGATCACCATTTAATAACCCTTTGAATAATGGAAAGAGAAACTCTTGTACAAAGTGACATTGAATGTTTAGGGAAAATCTCATCGACTTGAGTGTTAAGAAAAAAAATACTGAATGAAAGTTATGCTTAAGCCTTAAAAAGTTATAATGAATTGGTGCCAAAATCTTTAACTTGGATTAGTTAAGGTAGTGGATTTAGGTGACTTGTATAAGAACGAACCAACATACATCCTTGTCCACTCTCTCCCTAGCTCTATTTATTGCTCTTTATCTTGTGCTTATTGATCTCTATACTTGTTCGAATTATTTGGAGTATCAACTTGTGATTTTTTATATAATTTCTGAAAAAATTGTATATCCAATTCAACCCCTAATTGAATTGCTTTACCACTTGCGCATACACATCAAAATGGTGTAACAATGAGTGGCAAACCTTATAGGATAAATTCTGCCTAGGAATGTTTAGGTAAGAGATGTTTGGTTATCATGCAATCTACCTAGACTTCTCCAATACTTCAAACTTTGTTTTTTAATGTTGGATGTTTTAGGATGTTTACTTTTAAAGGCATGTATGGATGCTTATTTACATTTGAGAATGTGACTTGCATAAGCTATGAGGTTATGGATGTTTTCAAGTAATTCCCTTTGGAGTTTAGGAATGACAAAGGCACGTATTATGCATCAGAGAGAAGCTTAAAAAGTCTAGATTCAATAATTGACCTAGTTCACGATGTTCGTGGAGCTCATGGGGCTGTCCGATAATCTTTTTCCAACACAAGGAAAAGCTCCAATGTAGGTTTTCAAATTTTCGGTAGCTTAATAATATTGGTGTAGAACTCTCAAGTGCATCCACATAACAATGATGAACTACTGATCTTGATGGCCAATTTTATGAAAATGTGCAAATAAAAATGTGACTACTGATAGGCATTTAGAAGTTCAAAAAACAGAGACCTTTTGTTCATAGTCTTGGTGGCACTCAATCATGAGTTTTTCTTTTACATATCATGATTTTTGCAGGTCTTGGGGAATAAAGAGCTTTAGTATATGGACATTTTTGTATTTATATTTCACTTACTTTAGTGCTGGCATATTTGAATAACTAGTCTTCTACCAGTCCACATTTTTAATATAAATGGTGGCATAACCTAATTCTTGTATTGATATTGGTTTTCTGTTACAGTAGGTGACTCAGTTGAAAATTAATTTTTAAGGAATTTTTCTCTCTTAGAATGTGTGAAGTTTTGGAATCAATTACCATGGACAAAGCGTTTTCAGAGTCATAATATGTTTAGACAGATATTATTGTCTTTCTGTTATATATATAAATATATATATATTTGAAGATGCATGTTATGATACCGATAAAAGTTATGTGTCCAACTTATCTTTCTTTATTTTTTTTATTGTGCTTATTCTTTTGTTTACCTCTTATATTACTTCCTAGAAACTCAAAAGTTATGTTCTTTAATTTGAGGAAAATAAGATGTTTACCTTTTATATTCTCCCAATGTAGGTCATCCAAGTTTGACTTTAAGTTAAACAACTCCATAAGCAAATGAGCCAAACAATGAATTTGACAATTTGAGGGGAAAATTTCCATTTCTGAAAACAATTATCTTATGAGGGATTCTTCAAATTATAGGGTTTCGAGATCGATGCATTTTGGATTGCTGCCATTCATATTCTATATTATTTCCAAAAACCTTAGCAAAGTGCAACAATAGACTTATTGTTGCTTTTCTATATAAGTATAAGGATTTTATTTAGGTTCCAACTATTTCTCACTTGACTAGCATATTCTAGTAAGCTTGAAGGCAAGTGATTAAAAGGTATGTACTTGTAAATATATGCTGTGATTTTAGGTTTGTCACAAAGGTAGAATAAAAAGCCTATGAAAGTAACTTTGTACAAGAATTGATAAGACTTTTTATTTAGTATGTTAGTTTTTGGTTCTTTCACTCACGGTCTCTTGATTTAGACTCCCTAATTAGTGTTACAACTTCAGTTTTATTCCACATTTGTTACTTTCTGCAACAAGCAAATTAGACATTTGCAATCACACTAATATATCAGAATATTGATTGATGCAAAATGGAAAGTACCTTTGCACAGCAATTGCTTATAATACAACTCAGTTCATTGGCTATAGCATAGAACATTTAGTTCAAAAAGCAATAAGGTTAACAAAAAGATGTCTCTATAAATGTTTCAAAGCTATAAGTGGTTAGAGTTTCTAGGGTATTGGATGATAGTATGCACTATATAACCCATTTAATTAGTTTTTAGCTTTATTTACAAATGAAAATTTTTCATCATTAATTGAATACTTTAAAATTGTCAAACAGAGAGTAGGAGGGAGAAAGAGACAGAGACAGAGAGAGCATAATAAATTTAAGCTTAACAAAGAAGCATAAGAAAATGTCAATCTTACGCTTTATGCCGCAATTCCCACCAAAGTTCTTCATCAGAAAGAGGGGGAGATTTACCTATCTCCACCTCAAAACGGAATCTTGCTTTCTCAACCTGTAGTTGCTTAACCATTTCAAGCTTTTGACTTCTTCTGACATCAAGCAATTCTGCTGCCAACGGCACAGTCTTCACATATCTATTCATGGCAAAGCCTCTCATTATTGTTTTGACCATTGTAGAAAAGCATTTATCAATGAAATTCACTTCATGATAATTAAAATAGGGTGTTTTGCCAAAAGAAAATTATTAAAACAAGATAATCTTTTAAGTGAATGCAGTTTTTGTAATTATAAAGATCCTTATTTGCATCTTCAGTCTGAAATTGTCTTCACTAAAACAAGGACATTGCTCCATACTTTACTTAGAATGATGTTAATATAGCTATTCCCAAGTTTAAAAGGAAGGATTTGCATGGATGCACTGTTTCAAGGGGCAAAGGACTAGAAGCCACACAGGTTAATTCATAATAATAAAATTTCCCATTCTTTTATATAGTTATTCAAATGGAAAGATTAACCATTTAAACCGGAGCAAGAGATTTTACCTGTCCAAAAAAGGCATAAGAAAATAGTCATGAACCACAAAATCCAAGGCCAAGGGTATAAGTAACAGTGCTGCCACAAACTTAGCCTGTCATATGAAAAAAAAAAAAAAAAGTATGAACAACTTAGGCCCTTGGTCATATAAGTACTTAAGGCCATGTTTGGCATATAGGATAATGGATAGATAGGATGATAATAATTCTATAACATGTTTGGTTGTATCTAAAGAAAGGGATAAAATTAAAAGGAGGATTAATCATCCTCTTGGCATAGGATGATTTAATCCTTCCAAAATGAAGAGCATTATTTATAATCCATAGTATTGAACTTATATGTCCTATTATACCCTTAAAAATTATATCAATAATTTAAATTATATAAACTTCAAGGAAGTATAATTTTGACCAATAAATAAAATTATCTTATTCTAATCCTTATACACATCAAACACAAAATAAAATGATATTATTTAATCTAGTCCTATTCATAATATCATCTTATCCTATCCTACCATAATATTGTGCACCAAATACACCCTAGAGAACTTAATTATAAGCAAATACACTTAAGAACCCATAGAATGTTGGTGAGTAAACTAAAACAAAGTTGAGGCAGATATAAAAGTTATTGTGCAATCAAGAAGAAACCCATCAAAATTTGAAAAGTCAGGCAATATCAAAGGACCAACTGAAAAACGTGCACTCAATCATCTTTCTTATTCATCAAATTACTTAAAGATGAAGCAGCGAATGCAGTAACTAATTCAAAAAAAAAAGTCTTACCGAATTCACGGAGGCATACCGAAAAACACGATCCTCATACAATATATCCTCATCTTCCCTCCCAAGAACCAAATCTTTGACAGACTGAACCAAACCGTTTTCTTTTTCCTCCTCAACGCCATCATCATCCCAATCTTTTGCAGCACCATGCTTATTATCATCCCCGACCACAATCCAATCCTCCCATCTTCTGCTCTCCTCATTCCTCATATCCTCTTGCGCTTCCCTCAACTCTATCATGGCCTCAGCCCTCCTCTTCCATGCCTCAAATTTACCTCCTTCTGACGCCTCCGCCGACTCTGACAACATATCCTCCCCTTCCTCCTCCATGTCATCGTCCTTGAGACCTAGCCAATTACCGTCATCGTCGAAAAAGAACCTTTGCCACCAGCTTCTTTTCCTGGAATATTTGTTATTGTTGTTTTCAGCATTTGCGACGAATCCAGAAAATCTTTTTCTTTTGCAACTGAGATTAACAAAAAAACTCGATGGATTACGCCAACAGACAGAGAGTGAGGAGGTTTGGGATAGGTTTTGGTTGATTAGCTTGAAATTGTCGCGAAAGACCATTGATGTGCTCATTAATAAAAACATATGTAAAACCCAACATCCTTTCAACTTCTCACAAAGCCCATCAAGGTATTACCATATATTTGTGAGGAAGAGCGTTTGAGACCAGAATGTGAAAAAAGGCAGACAAGGAAGAAAGAAAACGAGGATAACCGCTTGTGGATTTTTTTTTATTTTTTTGGATAGGCATGCATTATAATAATTTTCCAGTACCTGGAATCCCGGAGAATTAGTAAATAATTATTATTTACATAAAATATTGAAAATGAAAAATACAATTATTTGAAAATGTAATAATAAAATATAAAAATTTAACTCGCAATAAAATTTATTGGTGTAATCAGCAAATGCACAAGTTGCATCTAAGTAACCCTCCCTCCTTCCTACGTTTTTGTTCATACTTTTTTTTTTTTTTGATGTTTCAAAATTATTTTTTTTTTTAATATTTAAAACTCTTACTTTTTATATTTTAAAATTATATTTTAATAATTTTTTTGACATTAAAAATCATGAAATTTTAATGTATAAAAATTTTAAATTTTAATATTTAATATATTAAAATCAAAACTTTTTTTTAAATTTTGTAGAAGTCAATAATACTTAAACAATTTAAGACAGAAGAAGTAATAGTGATAAGTGAATAATCGTTATCAAGAAGATTAATTTAGAGATTAATCTAGATCTAAATACCACAATATAGCACCTTAACTATAGTCGACTCAATCAATATCAAATTTAGTCTATTAATTATGAATACAAATGTAGGAAATATTGGCCTATAATGGGACGATAAATACCTTTAGTAATAACTAAAATAGAAACTACTAAAGGTAGTTAATAATTTGGTTTTGAAAATTGCCACTCTTTTTTTCCAAAAGGTGGTGACATTTACCTATAAAAATGAGGGAAAATAAATGGCATTCGGCCATTATATGAAGGTGAAGAGATTCTTGTTACAATCTTTTCCTCTCTTAAAAAACACATGGCATTCAACCATAATAAAATGGAACAAAAAAGTATTCATCCGCATATGAAATAAGTCTCATTTATATGTGGAATTATGTGATAAGTCACATAAAAAAAAGAAAGGAAAAGAAAGAAATTCGTAAAGCAAAGGAATAAGACATTCCCTACGAACTCTTTAAGGAATCTCATGTTTTAGTGTTTAAAGATTTACACTATAGATAGTAGACAATTTTCTAAAATGTGATATTATCCTTAACCAGTGAATCGAGTTAGTGTTGCTTTCGCAAATCAAGTAAGTCTTTTGCATTATTTTCAATTTATGATATTGTTCATTATATTGTAAAATTATCCTTTATTGGTATTAGAGCTAGATTGGCTTGATTCCTGATTGTTTCAATGTTTGTCTTAAAATATGAAAATTACAAATATGTTATTGAGTTCTTACCAAAATATGTACTAAAATCGATGGAACAAAAAAAGTGTGCAATTTTATTGTAAAAAGTTGTTATGAATGTTTTAAAACATTCAAATGTAAGTTGCCATTGTCATTTAGATTATTTTGGATTGAGTTTTCAATTTTCAGAACTCGAGCATTAGAATGCTTGATAAGGCATTTGAATACCTTAAGCAAAATGTCAATTTTTAACATATTTTTTGAATAGGCATTTAAATACCCTCTTAGAGAATTCAAACGTCACATGTGATTTTCTAATAGATTGAAAAATAAAAAAAATTTTAAAAAATAAATGTTTTTTAAAAAAAAATTTATGATTCTTGGTTAACTTTAGGATGATGAAAGTACAAGAGTAATTAAAATATGTTTTAATCATTATGAGACGTGTGTGTTTATGAAATTTCTTGTATATATATCATAGAAAATCATGACAATGATCGTGAAAACTCTTATTGTTATAAGGACTTAAGTGTAATTACTCAGAGCCATAAGGCTAGTAATTGAATTAGTGTAGCAATGAATGGATCCAAATGATGATGATATTATGTGTCATATCATCAAGGGTTAACGGTAGGTTAAAGAGTTGATATTTTAAGGTAACATATATGTAAGAAAGATATAAAACATATATATGATGTTGAATGGATACCCTCCTTACAATTTGACAAAAGAATCTTTTCAAAGATCTTTGGATATCTAATGAGAAAAAAGTCTTAATGTTCAACTTTGATAAAGAATTTTGTGATTTTGTGATTTTGTGAGAAAGGGGTATGTTAGCCTTAAATTTATCTTTCTTTTGAAATCACAAAACATTAAGCTAAATAAGCTTGATCAAGATTTTGAAAAAGATTTATTTAATATATGTTCTTAAGTTTTATATTTTGGTACTAAATAAATAATATGATTTTCAAAGCTTAAACAAACCTTTCTTTGTTTTCATATTTCTCAAACCAAATCTATCTTTAAAGATTATTTATTTAAGCTTAAATGAAAGTCCAATTGTTGTTTTTAAAGTGAACTTATTCATTTTGGACTTAATACAATTTTGACAATATTGGTTTTGAGAAATAGATTGACTTAAGAGAGCTATTTTATATGAACAAAGTTTTTCAACATTGAATTTATTTTATTTTTCTGTATTAATTCACAAAGTTTTAATATTTGAATTTTATATGGTTGGAAAGCTCTTTGAGTCTAATTTGTAATGGATCAAACAAAATTAAAATCTAAATTTTCTAAGAAAAAATTTTGAATTTTTACTAGACACTCTGTAATTGTCAAAAAAATTGCATAAGGGGAAAATTTGAAAATTCACTATAATTCGTACTCAATGAATTAGGTGATAAATCTTACATGGATAGAAAGTCCTTTAAGTATAGTTTCTAAATCTTTAAACGGTTTGTGATTTGGATTTATATAACTCAAGATATAATTAAACTAGTGAGTAGAGTGTAAAATAGGAAACAACCACCCAACCATTGATAGAATATATCAAGTCGTGTTTTTTAAGCATGAAATGGCATAAAACTTGAACCAATCAATCCCCTCAAGGAAAAGATTGATCGAGTCTGGGCAGAATCACAGTAACGACTATTTTTTCATGCTTTCAACTGCTATTTTCTTCTCCTAAGCATCCCTAATGGCTACTCCTTCAATTTTTTTATAAATTAGGCACTCCAACACACCAAGAAGATTGATGAATCAAGAGAGCAAGGGCCAACAAGTCATATTTTCATTCTCTCAAAGAATCAAGAGTTTTTATAGCTTCAAAGTCCATATCTTTGTATTTATTGTATCCAAATTATATTTATTGTTCATTCATCATTTTCTTATACTTAAACTTAGCAAACACTTAGCTTTAGAGAGGTTGTTCAATTGTTTGCAAAATTACCTTTGATATACAAGGGTGAAAGAGAATAAGAGGTGAGGTATCCTCTTGATATTGTAAGGGTAAAGGTTGCTATCTAAGCCTTGAAAAAAAGATAGAGATTTAGTACAAGATAGGTTTATATCTTGTAAGAATTTTTCTTCAATTAGTGGATTGAAGCCTTGGTGTGGACAACTAAGAGAAATGACGTAGGTGCCTTATGGAGAAGGATTGAACCTCTATAAATTATTATATTTGATTTCTCTATCACTATCTCTTTACAATTTATTGTTGTTTATATTTGATTTTAGGTTCATTAATTGTTATTATTTGCGTTATATTTTTCATCAAAAATGCTTATTGTTTTAATTTCCATTCAATTATATTAAAATCATTTGTTTGGGAAGAATTTGAAGAGATCCAATTCATCCCTCTCTTGGATCACCATCTCACTTATAAAGTTAATAATTTGTATCAGAGCTTTGATCTCTTTTTATAGGTTTAGCCACCTTGAGTAAAGATCCTTTGGCTCAATTTTGGTTTCAAAATGGTGACGAAGTCTTCAAAGCTCCTATAGTTGATAAATTTAAATTTTGTGAATGGAAAATAATGATAAAGGTGTTCATTATGGCTTAAGATTTTGGAGTATAGAATGTGATGGAAAAAGGGCTTAATACTCCTTCTAAAGATGTAAAATATATGACATAAATAATAGATGATGCAAAGGTCAAGTGCATTCTCTATGGAGCTTTAGATGATTACAACTTTAACTTGATCTCAAAATGCTCAACCTCAAATGAGATATGGAGAAAGTTGGATGAGCTACATGAAAGATAAAATTTCAACCAACATCCATCATGTCTCATGGCTATTGAGGAATTAAAGGTAACCTCTAATTCTATTGATTCAAATTCATATGCTTTTGATGAATTGCAAGATGCTTATAATGAGTTATATGTTGAATGTGAATCAATGAGGAGGAAATATAAGAAAATGATTTTAAAGTTGAATGTAGAGAATGAGTTTTTAATGAATGCAAAAGATGTTTTGAAAAAAGAAAATGAAAATTTGAAAATAGATTTTGAAACCTCTCAAAATAGGTATGAAATTTTAGAAAACGAAAATTTTAATTTGAAAAAGAAATTTGATGCTTTGATGAATGAAAAATAAGAGTTTTTAGATAAGAGTTTAAGTGCTAAAATGATTAAATGTAATTTTTGTAATTTTCATGGTCATACTATACATACTTATTCTATTAGAAGAAAATTTTCATTTAGAATTAAGCACGTATGGGTTCCTAAAGGACCAAGAGACTTAGTCACTAACTCTCAAGGACCCAAAGTAATTTGGGTACCAAAAATCAAATGAAAAATGTCTCTTGTAGGTGTACTAGAACAAGAAGCTACAATGTGAGATTGAAGATTGAATACTTTAGACACACAATGGAGATGGGTAACTTTTAAACTTTATTTAAAGAGAATTTGAATTTAGTTACCTATTCTTGATGAAATTTGAATGCTTGATTGATTATGCAAAATTTGGTTGACATTGATAACAAAACATATGTTGCATAATCTTTTTTTTTTTTAAAGTGAGCTTGAATTGAATATGCATTTATTTTGCTCTTAAGTATGTTTGAGTTGCTTGTTGAAATTAATTGTGATATAAAACTTTTCTAAATGGTTTGAAGAACTTAAATGTGTGTTTAAATATATTTGCCTATCTTAATAGCCTTTTTCAAGGAAATATGGGGATTAAGAGTTAACTTTTTAATTTCCTTGTTTCTAATGCCAAATGACCACTTGAACAACTTTGCTTTGTCATTTGAAATTTGTTGGAATGGTTCAAGTTGGTTAAAAATGAGCTTGACTAGTTTTGAGATTTATTAAGGTATTT